CAGCAACTTTCTGCCAGCCCTCTCTCCTTGCTTTTGCAGCCTTTGCAGTGTTCCCTTGCGTTTTAATTAAACTCTGAAACTCCTGAAATCCCTCACTCAAGAGTTCTTGCTCTGCTGCCGAAAAATACTGAGCACGCTCCTTCGACATTTTCGCCGACCAATCAGAGGGTTGCCAATCAATGTTTCTACTATCGATGCGTAGCCCCTTTTACGACACCCAGTGATCTCACATTACTTCATCCAGCTGTACTAATCGTCAACAGCAGGTGTGTTTGGAGAACCGGATTAGCGAGCTCACGGTTAGCGCGATGGTTTGGTCTTGGATGTGTCATTTGATCTTGGATGTAGTAAGCGACGTAAGAAGAACGGGCCCCAGGTCTTTTCACTTTTACATCAGCGGATCTTACATCCGTCAGTACTGAAACTCTGCAACTTTGGAAACACTGAGTTAAAGTCCTGGCTTTAACATGAGGAGAGAAAAAATGTGAATTTTAATATCCTTACATAGAATAACATCATGAAATTGAATGGGCTAGATAAAGGAATCAAAGTCATTCATCGGAAATAACTATATAATGACTTATTTTTTATCTTTTAAATATACAGTGATTAACAACCACCAGTGCCCACAAACTCTTTAATCAAACCTTTTCATGTTTCCGAATTTCCAAAAAAAGTTGAAAAGAAAATAGTAAAGCACATTATCATTATTTTTTGAATAGATGGATGCATGGATGATTACTTTTTGATGAAGATGCTAAATTACAGTTCTTTGTTAGTTTTAGTTGTTAAATGTCTGGCTTGATATATTTCTGAGAGGTCCAAAGTGCCGGCTCTAATTTGGGTAGAAAAACACGAATTTGGTTTGTTATTTGCTTATAAATGCAAATGTCATTTTTAGGTTTAAACAAGTTTTTGACCGATTTCTGAATTTTTTGTATTTCTTTGTTTTTATGACAGGTGGTCGAATATATGTGTTAAGCACTGCGTTAAACACTGTAATTAAAACTGAAACATTTGATTTAGACATGAAAACGTAAAATCAAACATATTTAAAGTTTACACTGGTAATAGTCCAATATGAATAATCCTGACCCACTGACCTAGATTCATCTATAACAGTACCCTGATCTTCGCTAAATAAAAATGCATGCTTCTGTGACAAATGAATACAGACAGTCATTAACATTACGCTCAAGTGTACTTAACATGTATTTTCCTCTA